ACTCCACCAGTTAATAGCTTGTGACTTTGGGAAAGGTGCTTCCCTTCTGAGCTCAGTCTGTGTCTCTACTTGTAAAGAGAGCATGATATACCCAGGCACAGTGGCCCATGCCTTCTAATCGCAACGTTTTGGAAGGCTGAGATGGGAAGATCATTTGAGGCCAGCAGTTCAAAACTAGCCTGGGAAACACACTGTGTTTACAAAAAACTGTTTAAAAATTCGCTAGGCATGGTGCCACGCACCTAGAGTCCCAGCCACTCAGGAGGGTGAGGTGTATCGCTTGAGCCCAGTAGTTTGAGGCTACAGTAAGCTGGGATGGCACCACTGCACTCCAGCCTGGATGACACAGCAAGACTTTGTCTCTTTAAAAAAAAAAAAAAAAAAAAAAAAAGGTATGGTAACAGTCCAGATCACAGGCATCGTCTGGTAAGCATTTCCTACGTGCTTCCCTTCCCTTTCTTGAGGTATCCTTCTAGTATGCAGGGCAGTCAGATTCAAGCTCAGGTCTGTCCAGTCTCAGAACCCCAGACGTCAGCTGCTTTGATCCACTGCTGCATTTGCTCAAAAAAGAGCAAATGAAATGAAATGTTTCTGAGTCACAATCTGACCCTAAAAACATAAGCTGAACATAAGAGGGTCCTGGCTAAGTCTGACAAGGGCCGGCATACCTTGGATTCTGTTGGGCACCTTCCTGCCTGCTGCCATGCTCCCTCCGGCTCTGGCCTGGGGTCTGTGGCTGCCAGTGGGTGCTGGAGTTTGGGGCTCCAGCAAGCTCTCGTGGGCTCCTTTCTGCTCTTACGCCAACCTTTCTTCTCTCCCCATCCCTCCTCTTTCTGCCTCCTGCCCCCGCAGTGAGAAAAAACGCAAGCCTGCGTGGACCGATCGCATCCTGTGGAGGCTGAAACGGCAGCCCCAGGCTGGCCCCGACACTCCCAGACTGCCGGCCCCAGACTTCTCCCTGTCTCTGAGGAGCTACAGCAGCCACATGGTGTACAGCATCAGCGACCATAAGCCTGTCACCGGCACTTTCGACTTGGAGGTGAACTTCCAGGCTGCCTGATACTTGCCAGAGGAGTAGCTATGCTGGCCACATCCCCAGGCCCTCCATCCCTGGATTCGAATGTCAGCCAGTCCCCCAGGGGAGACCTGTGGAGGCCATGATTGCCTTTCCTGCCAGGTCAGATATCCCAGCTCCTCTTAGGAGCCGTTGGTGGCTCTGTCAAAAACGTGTTCAAACCCTTTGTGAAAAGGTTTCCATTTCCTTTGGGTATTCTCCCTTGGGGCTAATGAGTTCCATTAGGCTTATTACCCAGTGTGAGAAGTAGGACTTCTTTTATTTGTCCTAAACCTATCTGGATCAAGTTGCAATGGGAGTTCCCTCCACCCCTGCGTCCTTGTATCTTGCTGTCTAAACGACCAAGGTGTTGGCCTCCTTCAGGCTGCTGCCTGTCAGCCTTCACATGTTCATACAGGTTTACCGGCGTGTGTGTGCGTGTGCGTGCGTGTGCGTGCGTGTCTCTCGTTCTGCCGTCCAGGTTGGAATACATTGGTGGCATCACAGCTCACTGCAGCCTCCACCTCCTGGGCTCAAGTGATCGATCCTTCCACCTCAGCCTCCCTGGTAACGGGACTGCAGGTGCCACCACGCCTGGCTACGTTTTGTATTGTTTGTAGACGCAGGGTTTCACCATGTTGCCCAGGCTGGTCTCGAGCTCCTGGGCTCAAGTGATCCTCCCAAACTGTTGGGATTATGGGCGTGAGCCACCATGCCCGGCCCACACTGGTTTCTCTGTTGTGTTCTTGCACATTCACAGCTGTTCTCACCAGAGCAGCCCCCATGTGGGGCTTTGGGTCAGATACCCAGGAGGCCTGACAGCAGCTGCCTGGCCACCTCCTTAAGCCTCTCAGCCGAGCCTCTGCTCTCTGCCATTCCTACCCCCGCCATTCCCTGACAGGGCCGGCCACCCTCCTGACTGGTGTATGGCCCTCTTTCCTGCTGGCCAGCCAAAGCCCGCTGGAGCAGCCCAGCGGAGTCCTGTGCCCACCCCTCTGGGTGCCCCACCTTCCCCGCTATGTTGGAAGGGCACAGTGAGGAACACTTGGCCTCAGAGGAGGGAATGATTCAGCCCCTCCCACCCCCGTGTCTAGCTGAAGCCATTGGTGTCTGCTCCGCTGATTGTCCTGATGCCCGAGGACCTGTGGACCGTGGAGAATGACATGATGGTCAGCTACTCGTCAACCTTGGACTTCCCCAGCAGCCCGTGGGACTGGATTGGACTGTACAAGGTGATGTGGTGGCAAGGCAGGGAGTCCATCAGCAACAGCCCCCAGTTCGTCCTTCCTGAGGGCTCCTGGGAGCTGGGCAGATGCTGACAAACACCCTCGTCCACCCCAGCGGTTCTTCTGTAGCTAAGGGCTGGCAGGGAAGGGCAGCGGGGAGGCGTACAGTACAGTAGCCAGGCCCAGCGGTGAGACTCTTCTCCTTAGGACTTGCCTAGCATCCCATGTCCTCCCTGACCACTGATGGCCTGACTCCCCCTCACAGGTGGGGCTGCGGGACATTAATGACTACGTGTCCTACGCCTGGGTTGGGGACAGCCAGGTCTCCTGCAGCGACAACCTGAACCAGGTACGTCACCAGCAGGCGGGCCTGCCTCAGCACTCCTGTCTCGTGGAAGGAACAGGGTGCTGGATAACTTGTCACTCCGAGCTGGGCTCCGCCTCAGCACTCCTGTCTCATGGGAGGAACAGGGTGCTGGATAACTTGTCACTCCGAGCTGGGTGGAGCCCAGAGCCCTGGAACTGACCCCAGTCCTGTCCATCCCCCTCCCCCTCCAGGTTTACATCGACATCAGCAATATCCCTGCAACTGAAGATGAGTTTCTCCTCTGTTACTACAGCAACAGTCTGCGTTCTGTGGTGGGGATAAGCAGACCCTTCCAGGTAAGTGATGCTGGTGAGGGAAGCGGGAGCGGGAGGGCTTGAGCCCATCGTCGGTTCCCTGAGGCCCAGGCCTGGGGCCAGCCTGTACGTGAGGAGCCGCTGCAGTGGAGGAATGGGGTGATGGAAAGCAGAGGAAGGCCCACTCTCCACTTCCACCACCTGCTTTACCCCTGCAGATCCCGCCTGGCTCCTTGAGGGAGGACCCACTGGGTGAAGCACAGCCACAGATCTGAGCCAGGATGGGAGTGAATCCCAGGAGGAGGCCAGAGCTGGCAGCCAGCTCTGCCTTTCAACTGCCAGGAGTGCTGGGGGCCCAGCCTGACCCCCTGAAGAGACAGCCAAGTATCCTCCGCATACGCCTCCCAGAGTGAGCTCTAGCCAGACTCCTTTGCTCTCTCCACTACTCATCTCTGGAATTAGCCACTTAAATACAGGTTTTTGTTGCTGAGATGTGAGTGAAACCAGCTAGTGCATCAACAGCGAAGACCTGGGGACAGTTCTGCGTCTTATTTCTGGATTCCTACCCCCTCTTCTAGTCTAGCCCAAGTAGTCCCGCCAGGCACATGCCCCATTTGGCACAGGCCTGCATTCTTGTCGTGCCGTCCTGGGCCTCAGGCTGTCTGGGCGGGGAGATGCTCACATTCGTACAGGCTACATAGACTGGTGCAAGCAGTGCTGGTTTCCAGGAGTCTTGGCATCTCATAGCTTGTCCCGGGAGGAGTGAACAGAGGGTCTGGATTCCTGCTCTCAGCAAAAGCAGTCTGACCCCTCTGGCCAGGCTCTTACGTCATGGTTGTGAGGAGGCTGATGAGGGTCCTTCGGCCAGCACAACCTTCCTCCCTACCCACGGCGTGGAGGCTGACCCAGGAAGTTCCAGAGCCTGAACAGAGAGAACTGGGAAGGATCTAGGTTCGCTTCTGCTGGTAGCTTGAGTCCCATGCCTCCGCCCTGCTGGCTGAGGAAGGGGTGACAGGTGGTCAAGGAGCTGTGGCCACAGAGTTTTCCAGGGTGGTCCTTGTCAGGTTAGGTGCATATGCACCACCCTTGTCAAGAGTCATTGACGACAGCCCCCCTCTGGACCCCCCAGGACCTCAAAGTGGGGGCAGGCAGAAGGGAGAACCAGCTCAAGACATTTTGGAGGATCTGGCCCTGGGGGTCTTCAGCGAGCACTCTCTAGGGGCTTTGTGGACATGGTCTGTCCCCACATCCACCACTTGCCTCCTGCCGTGGTCACTCGGCAGCCCTTTTCCCAGAAGAACACACCTCTGGGAGCCCGCTTGGTGCTTGTCCTGCCATCCTGTGTCCTGAGACTCAGGGCCACTCCAGCTGCTCTCCCCCTCAAGCCTGTGTACGAAGAGCTGTCCCCTGGCTTCCAGCAGGCCGTGGCTGGCTGTTTTGTGACTGTTACATTGTGCAGGGGTAATTAGAAGCGTGGCTTTTACACTTGTGTGTGACTGATGATTGGGGGGTGGGGGGTACAGTGGTGGGCCTGGGACTCGCTGTAGACTCCAGGAACAGGGGCCCTGGAGATCCCAACTAGACTTCTGTGTCTGAGATTTGCAGAAGTGGCCAGGATTGGGGCTAGGATGAGGTTCCAGAATGGTGAGCCTCTGGGGCGCTAACCAGGTGGAGCATGCCGTCTATGCCAGTGGCGGCTTCATGGACTCTGCTAAGTCGAATGAGCTCTCATTCATCCCTCCTGACCCGCTGCCCCGAATACCCTGGGTGTGGAGCCTTCTTCCTGCGTTAACCGGTCCAGAATGCCATCATCTTCTCTTTCTGCCCCACTTCTCACACCTTTTTTTTTTTTTTTTTTTTTTTTTTTGAGACGGAGTCTTGCACTGTCGCCCAGGCTGGAGTGCAGTGGCCGGATCTCAGCTCACTGCAAGCTCCGCCTCCCGGGTTCACGCCATTCTCCTGCCTCAGCCTCCCGAGTAGTTGGGACTACAGGCGCCCACCACCGCGCCCGGTTAGTTTTTTGTATTTTTTAGCAGAGGCGGGGTTTCACCGTGTTAGCCAGGATGGTCTCGATCTCCTGACCTCGTGATCCGCCTGTCTCGGCCTCCCAAAGTGCTGGGATTACAGGCTTGAGCCACCGCACCCGGCCTCTCACACCCTTCTTGCTGAATTTTCCCCCACGGTAACCTATGCCTGCCCCCAGCACATACACCTAGGGACCTCCAAAGCCCTCACTGCCCGCCTGTTCCTTCTCACACACACAGCCATCGGGAGGGTTGCCGTCTGGCACCCTTCGTTGGGCAGACAGGAGAGCCAAGGCTCAGAGAAGTGGTGCAGTCTCTTCAAAGTTCCAGGCACCTGTGGTTTCCTGCAGGACCAGGAACAGGAAAGGGATCTGAACCCACCCGCAGAGCGGTCTCAGTAGTCTGAAAATACAGATGATGTCCCTATTCTCAAGATTATTGTGGGAGAACCATTGCAAAAAGTATATCGCGCTAGACCCGCCTCCCCGTTCAGATTAATGCAGCCCTGGGGCTTGACCCAGGGGTCCCCCCACATGCTCACCTCCCCCGTGGTGAACTGAGGCCCCCACACACCCTGCCTCCTGTGAGGGAGGGGTGAGCCCAGCAGTGATTGAGAGGAGGAAAGGGGAAGCGGGGGTGCTCTCCGTCTTCTGGGCCCCAGTCAGGATATGGCCGCTCTGGGTCCACCCCGACCCACTGGGTGGAAACAGGAAATAAGTGAGACCTGGTGTGCACTGGGTCTACGCCTGGCTCCACGGCTGATAAGGGCCATTGTGTGGCCGCTGGGGATGAGCCTGCCCTGGATAGATGTGCTTCCTGGAGGAAGGAAGGAGGGCTTGCTAGCCTTTCCGGGGCGGGGGAAGCTGTGGGGAGACAGAAGGGTGCCGAGGGGAAGGCCCCTGCCTATGGGGCTGTCGGTGCCAGCACACGCCCACGGGACTCGGCCCTTCCTATGCCAGCCTCTCCCTCTGGAAAGGTCTGTTCCCCTATCCACTTCCCTGTTCTGACTTCCTCTAAGGAATGGCTGGAGACCGGAGGGCTCAGTCTCAGGCCAGGAAAGTGTCAGCTGTGATTTAGCAGCAGTAAAAATAGAAAAGCAGGAACGTCAGGGGTGGGGGGTCACCTGGGGGTACTGTCGAAATGCAAGGATGAACAGAGCTAGAGGTTGCCACACCCAGGGAACCCAGGAACTCACTTCACAAGCTCTGAGGCTCGGAGGAGGGTAAGACAAGAGTCTTCTCCCAGTGGGACAACGCCCTCTGCCCAGCACGACCAGCCCCCAGCAGCCCTGGCCACTCAAACTCATGGTGGGGGCTCACCTGCTGTGGGGGACGGCCCGTTGAGGGGATGTGCAGGAAAGGCAGTGCGCACTGAGGGGTCCTCGTGGCCTAGGGGAGGGCATGCCTTCTGGTTTGGGGAGTGGGCCCTGTGCTTTAGCTGGTACCAGAGAGTGGCAGGAGGAGGGGCCCAGCCATAGAGCTGTTGGGGGGTGGCGGGGGAAGGGGAAAGGCGTCCTACCCTTTGACCTGGAGCCCAGGGTACCCCGTGGGTGGCTGCATGGGCTCCTCTGGTTACCTGGGACAACAGGCATTTCCTCCATCACCAGCCCCTCCTCTTCCTGCTCCAACCATCCGGGCCAAGAGGCCTCCCAATCAGACCTGGACGGCTCCAGCTGTGTCCTGAGGCGCTGGACCAGCCACATCCCCTGGGGCTGGAGTTGAAGCAGAACCAAGTGGCCATCCCGGCGTTAGGCCATAGGTTCCTGGCTCCTGGAGCGGTCAGAGCCAGCCAGTGGGCAGCAGCTTTTGCTCACAGGCCCCAGTGCCCAGGGCGCTGGCTCTCCGCAGGGCGGAATGGCGCTGCAAGTGGAGCTGGTACCCACCGGGGAGATCATCCGCGTGGTTCATCCCCACAGGCCCTGCAAGCTTGTAAGCTGGGATGCCCGGGGCTGGGAGGAGGGTGGAGTATCTCCCCAGGGCCGGGCAGCCCCTCTCAAGCAGAGCCCTAGGGCAAGAGGTGAGCAGAGGGGGAGGGGTTCCAATCCTTGGATGGGGCCAGCACAGACTGAACAAGACGGGGTGAGTGGAAGAGTAAGGATGTAAGCGCCACCAGCAGCAGGATTTTTGGAAGTGGAGGTCTGGGCTTGACTCCTCCAGCTTCCTGAACCTCAGTGGGCAGAACTGTGAATACTGGGCACAAAAGGCAAGTGCCGGCTGCTGTGAGGTCGAAGGATGAGGGCATGGAAGCTCCTCTCCAGTCCGCCGGGCTGGGACCTCCCAAGACTCAGAACAGGAGGACGGTGTGGGAGGTGGGTGAAGGGACATGGGTGGGTGGAAACCGGGGAGCGCGGCCCTGACCCGGCCCGCAGGGAAGGGGCTGGAGATGCAAAGGGCCCGGAGGAGGGATAAAGTCAGGCGCCCCCGCGCCCCCAGCACCGCGGCGGGGAGCCGGGTCTTCTGCCGGAGGGGCGCGCGCGTGTTCGCTGTGGCCGGACGCGGCTGCCCCGGGAACCGGCCGAGGCGGGGGCCGCCCGCATCCAGGCTTCGCGGACGCGGCCGGGCTGGGGTGGGGCGGGGCCGGAGGGTGCGCGCCCTGCCCGGGATGACGACAGGCTGCGGCCCGGCCCCCGGCGGGCCCTGGGCGGGGAGAGTGCGCCCGGGCCGCGGATCCTCGAGCCCGCCACGCCGCCCAGCCCGGCCCCCGCCCGCGCCGGAAGAGCCAAGCCGGTGGGTACTCGGGGCGCGGGGACGGCGGCCGCGGGGGGCGGGTGTGGGGAGCGGGCGGCCGGGCCGGGAGCCGCAGTGCGCGAAGCGGGGGTCACGGCCGGGGATCGCTGGGGCCGAAGAGCGGCCGGGGGGACCCGTGCGGGGGTCCCAGGACCCGGAGGCGCCGGCGCAGCCTGGTGGAGACTTAGATTTACCTGCGGGGAGCGGGAGGCGGGGAAGAGCGGCCTGGGCTGCAGGACCCAGGACCCCGCGCGCCCTTCGGGCCCCGCCCGCAGCCCTGCTCTGCCTCTGGGTTCCGGAGAAGCCGCCTGAACCCGCCCCTTCCCGTTCTCCGCCCCTGGGGCCCAGCGCGCCCCGAGTGTGGCCGGAGAATGAGGCTGGCCACGCGGCCCTCGGTCCTCACGCTCCGGCCTCCCGCGCACACTCCTGCCTCTGAGATTCATTCATTCGTCCAGGGGGCCGGGAAGGGGTGACTGAGCCCCACCGTGTGCCTCGCTGGGTGTAGGGAGTGGGAGCCGTCTCCTGGGAGGGACTGACAGGGAAACAGCTGACTCCTGCGGGGTGCGATAAGGAGACGCGGCGTGTTCGGGAGAATCAGGCAGGGGTTCTGGAGGAGGTGACACCTGAGCCTAGTCTCCGTGAGGTGGGCAAGGAGGGTGCCCCGGGCTGGGGAAGCCGCAGGTGCAAGCACTGAAGCTTGGACTGGCTGGCGACGGTGCGAAGGCTCCTCCTGGCTGCGTGTTGTGGGTGGGAGGGGAGGGGTGGGGACAGAGGGGACTGGAGCGGGCCACCTGGCACACCGGAATGCAGGAGCAGTGGGGTAAACTGAGGACAGCAGGGGTGTCTCGGGAGTTCATAGGCAGGGTCCCGGTAAGCAGCAGTGAGTGTGAATCATGGGCCTGGCACATGGAGGGTGCCCTAAACCTTCACTCTGTGAACATGAGGTGTTGCTTTGATTTGTATTGCCCGAGGAGAAATGGATTGGTAGGAGGAAGGCAAGGTGTCCAGTTAGGAGGCTGCTGTTTTGGCCCAAGTAAGGAGCAGTGATGGAGGTGAAGTTTTTGTTTTATGTTTTTGTTGTTGGTGTGTTTTGTTTTAAGAAGGAGTCTCGCTGTCACCCAGGATGGAATGCAGTGGTGCGATCTCAGCTCACTGCAACCTCTGCCTCCTGGGTTCAAGCTATTCTCCTGCCTCTGCCTCCCGAGTAGCTGGGATTACAGGCGCGTGCCACGACGCCCAGCTAATTTTTTTTTATTTTTAGTAGAGAAGGGGTTTCAACGTGTTAACCAGAATGGTCTCAATCTCTTGACCTCGTGATCCGCCCACCTAGGCCTACCAAAGTGTTGGGATTACAGGCATGAGCCACCTCACCCAGCCTGGAGGTGAGGTTTTAGCAGGTTGTGACTACTTGGTGTGAGGAGTGGAGGGAGGAGAGCAGGCCTGTTAATGCCAGGCTGTGATGACCAGCTTAAAGTGCCACCCTTCTCTCTACGAAGACATTGAACAGGGAGTACAGGTTAGGGGTCAAAGGCCCTGTTTGTTTATTTATTTATGTATTTATTGAGACAGAGTCTTGCTCTGTCACTCAGTCTGGAGTGCAGTGGGGCGATCTCAGCTCACTGCACCCTCTGCCTCCTAGGTTCAAGCGATTCTCTCCTGTCTCAGTGTCCTAAGTAGCTGGGATTACAAGCGTGCGCCACCACACCCTGCTAATTTTTGTATTTTTAGTTGAGACAGGGTTTCACCATGTTGGCCAGGCTGGTCTGGAACTCCTGACCTCAAGTGATCTGCCTGCCTTGGCCTCCCAAAGTGTTGGGATTACAGGTGTGAGCCACTGCTCCTGGGCCGTTTACTTTTTTTCCCCTATACAAATTTATGTTAACATGTTATGGGTTTATTGTTTTGTTTGTTTGTTTGACACCGGGTCTTCTGGGGCACCCAGGCTGGAGTGCAGTAGCACCATCACGGCTCACTGCAGCCTCAACCTCCTGGGCTCAAGCGATCCTCCCACCTTAGCCTTCCGAGTAACTGGGACCACAGGCACACAGCACCATGCCTGGCTAATTTTTTAAAAAAATTTTTCTAGAGGCAGGAGTCTCACCACTATGCGGCCCAGGCTGGTCTTGAACTCCTGACGTCAAGAGATCCTCCTGCCTCAGCCTCTCAAAGTTCTGGGGTTACAGGCGTGAGCCACTCACTGCACCTTGCCTCTGTTCACGTTTGCTGGACCCCCCAGGCAGAGGTGTCTGGCAGCCGAAGGCCCATGGTTGTGAAGCTAGAATGGACAGTCCTTGACTGAGGCCCTGTGAGCAATCAGGGTAGAGACCCTAAGTCACCACTTTCTCCTCCCCATTTCCCTTCACAACAGTTCCCTGAGGCCTGGAATGGTCCTTGGTGGGCAGCCAGGCTCAGATCTAAGATTTGTTTAATAAATAGAAGTTGAGTCCCTGCTCTGTGCTGCCCAGCACTGTGCCACCCAGCACTGTGCCACCATGAGACGGTCTTTCTGCTGCCTCAGGGGCTCGGTGGACATCGGTTTATAGCAGCAGTCCTGGGTGCCTCAGATGACACCTCCTCCCAGCCCCCAACACCCCTACCCCACTGCAAGATCTGTGTGCCCATAGGCTGGGGGAACATGAGGTTCCCGCTGTCCCCAGAAGTCAGGCTTGTAGGCACCTGGCCTATAGGATCCGAAGGGCACAAGATAGCCCAGGTGTGCTGGGCCACCCCATCCCCTGTGGTTCCAGTAAACGCCTCCCCAGGTGGGAGAAGACCCAGAGGCAGCCTTGGGGAAGAAGTCTCCTAGGTCACTCAGGGGCCAGGGACTGCAGAGAACCTCTAGGCCCAGAGCCCTGGCCCACTCCTAAGGCCCACATGTGACATAATAGAATCACACGACACCGACAGGGGCCTGTACCGTGTCACTCACTGAAGGTCTCAGCCCTGATAGCCCTGATAACGCACAAAGAGGCTCAGGGCAGCCCCGCGGTAAGGCGTTCGAGTGCCTGGGTTCCAGTCCCACTCCTCTTGAGACCTTGCACAAAGTCACCTGCCCAGCCTCGATTTCTTCTGCGCTGGAGTGATCATACAGACCTTATGGCTTGGCTGGGGACACTGAAGGGAGGAACCTAAAAAAGCGCGGAGAACGCAGGAGGCGCCTGGCGCTGCAGCCTCAGCCGCGGCGTCTTTCCCAGCCCGGTTCTCCGCTTCCCTCCCTGCCCGGGGATCGCGCTTCCGTCCAGTGAGGCGGGGCAGGCCCCGGGTTGCCAGGGCTGGAGCCGCCCTGGGGCGCGCGAGCGGCGGCGATGCCCCCTCCTTCCGCCGCCGGGCGGTGGCTGCGGGGGCGCCAGCGGGCATCCCGGGAATGCGGCGGCGCGGCCGGGGATCTGGAAGAAGCGGGCCCGACCCCTCCGCGCGCGGATTCCCCTCATTCCAACCGCGTGACGTGGAGGGGCGGGGCGAACACTGCGGCCGCGAGGCTCCGCCCCTCCCTCTGACCGCGCCTCCGCAGGCTCCGGCCACGCCCCCGACCCGGGTCCCCCACGCCTAGCCGGGCAGGGAGGGAGCTGAGCTTCCGGCAGGGGCTCTCTGGACCCTTTGCCCCGTCTTCTAAGGCGCTCCCCACCCCTGGGCGGGCTGGAGGCTGGGTCCCCTCCTTGCTCCCTCTAGATTTTTCTTGTTTTGTTTTGTTTGGAGACGGAGTTTCGCTCTGTCGCCCAGGCTGGCATGCAGTGGTGTGATCTCGCTCACTGCAACCTCCGTCTCCCGAGTTCCAGCGATTCTCGTGCCTCAGCCTCCCGAATAGCTGGGATTACAGGCGCCCACCACCACGCTCAGCTAATTTTTGTATTTTTTAGTAGAGACGGGGTTTCGCCAATGTGGCCAGGCTGGTCTCGAACTCCTGAACTCTGATGATCCGCCTGCCTCGGCCTCCCAAAGCGCTGGGATTACAGGCGTGAGCCACCGCGCCTGGCCCTCCCTCTGGATTTTAAACCTGGGGGCACCGCAGCGGGCGCCTCCTCCCGCCCTCCCCCGCCTCTGCCCGAGACGCCCCCATTTCCCCTTCCCCGCTCCCCTGCCCCCACCAGCTGGCGCCCCCGCTTGGGGGTCCCCGGGGCCGCCGCTCCGGCCGGGCTGTTGTTGCAGTAACTAGCATTCCCCGCGAGGATCCAGCCCGCACCTGCCGCAGCCTCGCCCTCTCCCCAGGGAGCGGCGTCCGCGAGCTGGGGGTGGGGCGCTGGGGCTTTGGGTCCCGGCTCTGCCCACCCCCCCAGGGCGAGTCTGTGTCTGCCGTTGCGTTGGTAGGACAGGCAGGTGCCTGTAGACGCGCCTGAGGCTCTCCTCACCGGATCGGAAGCGTGGCCCAGGGCCTGACTCTCAGTAGGCCTCTGCCCGCAAGCAAGTGAGGAATGAGCGTCCGGCGGAGGGAAGGCGGTGGGTGTGGGAAGCGGGGTCTAGAGCGGTCTGGGAGATGCCTTCGCGCTCTATCTCAGGCCACCCAACGGCCCTTCTAGGCCTGTGTTAACCTCATGTTGGGGATGAGGAACAGAAGCCGAAACGTTAAGTGACTAGCTCAGAGTCCCACCGCGAGGCAGCACCAGCTTTTGCTGGCTCTAGACGTCTCCGCCCCTGCCCGCGGTGGGATCTGAGCCAAGGTTTGCCCCAGGCGAGGGAGTGTGGTGCCCGCAGAGCCCAGCGAGGGCGGGGCTGCCAAGGCCGGTTCGGAGTTGGGGGGCGTCCCGGAGATCCGGAGAGACGAGAGAGGTCCCCTTCAAAGCAGGGAGGGAGATGGGCCGAGCGCGGTGGCTCACGCCTGTCATCCCAGCACTTTGAGAGGCCGAGGCGGGTGGATCACCTGAAGTCAGGAGTTCGAGACCAGCCTGGCCAACATGATGAAACCCCGTGTCTACCAAAAATACAAAAATTAGCCGAGTGTGGTGGCGGGTGCCTGTAATCCCAGCTACTCGGGAGGCTGAGGCAGGAGAATCGCTAAACCCGGGAGGCGTAGGTTGCAGTGAGCCGAGATCGCGCCACTGAACTCCAACGTGGGAGCTAGCGCGACTCTGTCTCAAAAAAAAAAAGAAAAAAAAGGAGAGGGAGGAGGCCCGGGCCCAGAGGCGAGTGGGGTGCCTCGGGTGGGGAGAGGCTGTGGGCCCCAAATGCCGTGGGCGGGGATACGCGAATTTCCCAGAGGGGGGAACTGAGCCCTCCAGAGGTGCCGAGGACTCCGCGCGCTCAGCCAGGGCACCCGGTGGCCGTCCCTGTCCCTGGGGCACGCGCTCCGTGCTGACGAGGAAAACCAAGATCTTCCTGGGTTCGAGGCTCCGGCCAGGCCCCGGCGCGTGTGGGTGGACGGCGTCCCGCACGGAGAACGCTCCGCCCGCCAGGCGCGCCGGCCGTATTTGGACATTGGTTCTATTTTTAACTTTCCCGGGACTCGAGTTCGGGGGTTGGGGGAGGGAAATCCCGCTTCCTCTGGGACCCGCAGGCCTCGGTGCCCGCCCAGAACCCGAGCCCGCCGCGGAGTGTCGTCCCAGGCCCGGAAGTGAGTTCCGGGTCGGTGTAGACGCGGCGGCCGCGCGGGTTCCGGGCTCCACCCTGGAACCAACGGCGTCCCTCCTGGAAAACCTGACTCAGGCGGAGCCCGCCCCGCCCGCCCCCGGCCCCGCCCGCGGACCCCCCCCGACACCCCCACCTCCACCAACCCCACCTGGCGGGGACCCCAGCCCGGCCGCGCGGGAGGCGAGGGAGGCCGGGGAAGCCCCGCGCTTCAGGGGCCCTGGTGGGGGCGGTGCGGGGGGCGGGCCCTCCCTCGCTGACGCCGCCGCCGCCGCCGCCGAGCCCGGGACCCAGAGCGCGGGCAGCAGAGCGGGCGCCAGGCCGGCGGGGCAGGATGCGCTACCGGGCGTCGGTGAGCCGGGGGGCGGCAGGGCAGGGCGGGGCGGAGGGTCCCGGGCGCCCCTCCCCGCCTCGCGGCGTCGCCTCGGCCTCGCCAGGAAGCGGGCGCGGCCCAGGAATTCCGTGTGGAAAAACGTCCCGGGAAGTTGCAGGGGGAGGAGGCCGAGGCGGGGAGGGCCGCGCGGGACGCTCGGACCCGGGGGGCCGGACGAGGAGCTGCCGGGGACGCCTGAGAACGCGGAGACCCCTGACCCGAGGGCGAGGGGGCGGGGACCGCGGCCGGATTTGGCAGCCGCTTGGGCGCGGGATTGGAGCGGGGCGGGGAGGACAAGCCTGGGAGGGGCAGGCCCCCGGCCCGGCCCGGAGTGACGCCCCAGGCCAGGAATCTGGGCCTTTTGTGGTCAGAGGACACCCGGCGGCCCCTTTGGGATCCACCCCCAGTCACCACCACCTTGTTCTTCTCTGACCCTGGATACTCTGGGTGTCCGTTTTCTGGAGCCCTGAGACCCTGTTTGGAGGGGGATCCATCTCAGCCCTGGTTGTGGGGCGAGGGTCTTCCTGAGCCCTCCAGTGGGACCCAGAGGCAGCTGGGCTTTCCATGGTAAACCCCCCATCCCCTGAGGCTTCTCAGGACTCAGTGGAGGAGGCGCCTGGGGAGTTCGGCAGCTGGAGGAAAGGGAGTGGCCCCAGCCATGCGAGGGAGGCCCCCCCTTCTGGAGTGGGTGGCTGAGCCCAGCTGGGGTGGGAGGCCCTCCGGGGGAACCCCTCTGGTGTAGTCTGGGAGTAACCTCTTCCTTGGTGCGAGACGCTCTACCTGTGGAGATGTGGCTGGGTCCCGATGGGAGAGACGGCCCCACTCTGCCTGCAGAATTGACCCTGAGCCATTTGTCCTCCAAAGCACCTGTCACACGTGGCTCAGAGCTAAGGGACCTGAGGTCACCTGGTCTAACTCCTCCTCCTTGAGGAGGAAGCAGCCCAGAGAGAGGAGGGGCTTGGTCCAAGCTCCACAGAGCAGTCTTTCTGCTATTTCAAGGAGTTCCTTCTTGTGACCCGCTCCTTTCTCCACCCAAAACCGGCACCTCCCAGATTCTGCCCTCTGGTCCTGCGTGCGTCCGTGCCCTGTGTACACACCGGGACCCAAGTGCTTCATGTGGTCTCTGTTCTGTGCCCGCAGCCTTGGTGATCCCTGTGCTGCGACACCCGGACCCAGGCCCTCCACACCCGGCTTTCTGCACCCTGCCCACCACACCCAGACCCTCCAAACCCAGGCCCTCCACACCCAGGCCTTCCGCACCCATCAGGCTCATGTCCCATGTCCAGCCCTGAGTCCACAAGCCCCTGCGTTCCCTCTCAGTCCCACAGGCGCAGTGGAGGAGAAGTGGCCTTGCCTGGTCCCCCATGACTCTGACCCTCTTCTGTGGCCCATTCTCTGCAGGCCCTGGGCAGTGACGGGGTTCGGGTGACCATGGAGAGTGCGCTGACTGCCCGTGACCGGGTGGGGGTGCAGGATTTCGTGCTGCTGGAGAACTTCACCAGCGAGGCCGCCTTTATCGAGAACCTGCGGCGGCGGTTTCGGGAGAACCTCATCTATGTGAGGCCCTTGTGGGGAGATGGCAGGGGTGCTGGGGTCACAGACACAGGGCAGAGGGGAAGGAGACACCAGGGGTCACCAGGATAAACTTGTTTTTGTTGTTTGAGACGGAGTTTCACTCTTGTTGCCCAGGCTGGAGTGCAGTGGCGCAATCTTGGCTCACTGCAACCTCCTCCTCCCCGGTTCAAGCAATTCTGCCTCAGCCTCCCGAGTAGCTGGGACTACAGGCATGTGCCACCATGCCCGGCTAATTTTGTATTTTTAGTAGAGATGGGGTTTCCCCATATTGGTCAGGCTGGTCTCGAACTCCCAACCTCAGGTGACCCGCCTGCCTCGGCCTCCCAAAGTGCTGGGATTACAGGCGTGAGCCATCGCACCTGGCCCGGGATCAACTTTTGACCCTCTTCCCCCAACCCCAGACCTACATTGGCCCCGTCCTGGTCTCTGTCAACCCCTACCGGGACCTGCAGATCTACAGCCGGCAGCACATGGAGCGTTACCGTGGCGTCAGCTTCTATGAAGTGCCCCCTCATCTGTGAGTGACCCCAGCCCCTCTGGGAGCGACCCCTCTGTCTCCATCTGAAGTAACCCCACCCAACCCTTACTCTAAAATGATCCTGACCTCCTGCGCCACAGCTGTGAGGAATCCCACAGTTTCTCACCCCCGGGTGACCAGAGATGAGTGTCACAACTCAACTCCATCTGGGTGGGACTCAGTCCATACCCCACCTCACACCCATGACTTGTTCCCCAACTGGGAGTGGCCCCCCAATCTTAGTGACTTCTGAACCCCACCTGCGAAGACCCCCCCAACCCTACCTATGAGTGACTCCAGCCTCCACCTAAGTGACCTCCAGACTCCCACCTGTGAGATCATCTCAGTCTTCCCACTGGCAGTGACGCCCATTCTCAGCTGTGACAGATCTCCCATGGCCCACACCTGCGAGGGACCCCCAGTCCCCATCCTCAATACATCCTCAAGGGTGTATTAGACTTCCACTCACGAGAGGACGCCACCCAGACGTGGGAGCGGGACTCCCTGTGGGGCTCCGCTTGGCCCCCCCCCCCCGAACTCCCTGACCAGTCTCTGCCCCAGGTTTGCCGTGGCCGACACTGTATACCGAGCACTGCGTACAGAGCGTCGGGACCAGGCAGTGATGATCTCTGGGGAGAGTGGGGCAGGCAAGACCGAGGCCACCAAGAGGCTGCTACAGTTCTATGCAGAGACCTGCCCAGCCCCCGAGCGCGGAGGTGCTGTGCGAGACCGGCTGCTGCAGAGCAACCCAGTGCTGGAGGTGAGGGGCCGGGAGAGAAGGCCAGTGCGGGAGGTGAGGGGCCGGGAGAGGAGGCCAGTGCGGGAGGGGAGGGGCCGGGAGAGAAGCCCAGTGTGGGAGGGGAGGGGCAGCAATAGCTACATAGCGGGGTGGGGAGGGCAGGCGGAGAGTGCCAGGTGTCTCTCATACCCCCGTCCACTCCTAGGCCTTTGGAAATGCCAAGACCCTCCGAAACGATAACTCCAGCAGGTTCGGGAAGTACATGGATGTGCAGTTTGACTTCAAGGTACCATGGATGTGCGTGTCGAGAGGATTCCCATTCAGTAGGTTAAGCACCTACTAGGTACCAGGGACTATTCCAGGTGCTGGAATTCCAGCAGTAAAACAAAGCAAACAAAACTCCTGCCTTGCAGGGTGATAAACAATAAACAGGGAAATTGAGGCTGTGGCAGAAAATACAACGCAGTAAGGAGTGGGGGGCAGGTGTGGTCGTATTAGGGTAGGCCCCACTGAGACAGTGGCATTTTAAAGTGACAGCTGGGTGGGGTGGCACATGTCCGTTGTCCCAGCTACTCTGGAGGCTGAAGCAGGAGGATCGCTTGAGGCCAGGAGTCCAGGGTTACCCTACGCTGTGATCACACCACTGTACTCCAGCGTGGGCGACGGAGTGAGACCCTGTCTCTAGAAAAAATAAAAAATAATGGCTTGATGGAGACGAAGAAGCAGGCTGTGCAGGTGTCTGTCCAAGCAGCGGGAAGGGCCAGGACAAAAGCCCTGAGATACGAGGGTCCTGGAAGTGTTCCAGGACAGCACGGAGGCCACAGCGGCCAGAGAAGAGAGCAGGGGCCTGAGAACAGAGAGAGGCCACATGGTGCAGGCCCTTTTGGGTCATTGCAAGAACCTTTGTTGTTTTGTTTTGTTTTGTTTTGTTTTGTTTTTTTGAGACGGAGTCTCACTCTGTCGCCCAGGCTGGAGTGCAGTGGCAGGATCTCAGCTCACTGCAAGCTCTGCCTCCCAGATTCACGCCATTTTCCTGCCTCAGCCTCCCGAGTAGCTGGGACTACAGGCGCCCGCCACCACGCCTGGCTAATTTTTTGTATTTTTAGCAGACACGGGGTTTCACCCATCTCGGCCTCCCAAAGTGCTGGGATTACAGGTGTGAGCCACCGCGCCTGGCCTTTTTTTTAAAACTCTGAGTAGAAGGGGAGTCATTGGGCTGGGTGAGGTGGCTCACGCCTGTAATCTTAGCACGTTGGGAGGCTGGGGCAGGTGGATCACGTGAGGTTGGGAGTTCAAGACCAGTCTGGCCAACATGGTGAAACCCCGTCTCTACTGAAAATACAAAAATTAGCCAGGCGTGGTGGCAGGCACCTGTTGTCCCAGCTACTCAGGAGGCTGAGGCAGGAGAAACACTTGAACCTGGGAGTCGGAGGTTGTAGTGAGCTGAGATCTCACCACTGCACTCCAGCCTAGCCCTGGGAGGTTGAGGCTGCAGTGAAAAACTCCAGCCTGAGTGAAAGAGCAAGACCCTGTCTCCAAAAATAAAAAAAAGACTTTGGCTGCTTCACTGGGAGATTGGGAGTAGATGAATAGATGGTGGGGGAACCAGGCTAAGCAGGGAAACCGGTTAGGAGGCTGATGTCATCGTGTAGGTGACAGGTGACGGTGGCTCAGACCAGTGTGGTGCAGTGATTGGATTCTGGATGTTTTAAAAGTTAAGGCAGCAGGATCGGCTGCCTGATTGGATGTAGGGTATGGAAGAAAAACAGGCTTGCAGGACGACTGCCAGGGCCTTGGCTTGAACGAGAAGGATGTACTCACCACTGACCACGATGGGCGGACACTAGCAGGAAGGAGCTCGTTTGAAGAGGGGGAAGGTCCGGTGTTCCGTTTCAGGCCTGCTGAATTTGCGATGCTTGTCAGGCATCCAGGTGGAGCCGCCAGGTGGATGGAGTTGAATCTCCCCATTTCCTAGATGAAGTAACTGAGTCCAGCGTGGGTGGCGTGCCTGAGCCCACACAGCTAGTGGCAGGACTGGAATTGGCGCCCAGGTCTGGCTGCCCAAGACCAGGAGTCAGGGGAGAAGACGGGCAGATGGCTCTGTTCCCACTCCCCCGACCAGGCCTATGCCCTGCCCTGCCCACAGGGTGCCCCCGTGGGTGGCCATATCCTCAGTTACCTCCTGGAAAAGTCACGAGTGGTGCACCAGAATCACGGGGAGCGGAACTTCCACGTCTTCTACCAGCTGCTGGAGGGGGGTGAGGAGGAGACTCTTCGCAGGCTGGGCTTGGAACGGAACCCCCAGAGCTACCTGTACCTGGTGAAGGTGAGTGGCTGGCAGGCAGGGCAGGTGCCACCCAGGGATCTGTGGCCAGGGCTCTAACCCAGCCGTGCTCTTCCTCTAGGGCCAGTGTGCCAAAGTCTCCTCCATCAACGACAAGAGTGACTGGAAGGTGGTCAGGAAGGCTCTGACAGTCATCGATTTCACTGAGGATGAAGTGGAGGTGAGGCCTTTTCCAGGACCCTCCCTTTCCTCCTCTCACACCCCCAAAACTTCCTTCTTTTGTTGTTGGTTTTGTTTTGTTTTTGAGATAGAGTTTTATTCTTGTTACCCAGACTGGAGTACAGTGGTGTAATTTCGGCTCACTGCAACCTCCGCTTCCCGGGTTCAATCGATTCTCCTGACTCAGGCTCCCAAGTAGCTGGGATTACAGGTGGCCACCACGCCTGGCTAATTTTTTGTATTTTTAGTAGAGACAGGGTTTCTCCATGTTGGTCAGGCTGGTCTCGAACTCCCAACCTCAGGTGATCCACCTGCCTCAGTCTCTGAAAATGCTGGGATCACAGGCATGAACCAACACGCCCGGCTCCTTTTTTTTTTTTTTTTGAGATGGAGTCTCGCTCTTTTGCCTAGGCTGGAGTGCAATGGCGCGATCTGACCTCACTGCAACCCCTGCCTCCCAGGTTCAAGTGATTCTCGTGCCTCAACCTCCTGAGTAGCTGGGATTACAGACATCTGCCACCACACCTAGCTAATTTTTGTATCTTTAGCAAAGATGGGGCTTCGCCATGTTGGCCAGGCTGGTCTTGAACTCCTGACCTCAGATGATCTGCCCGCCTCGGCCTCCCAAAGCGCTGGGATTACAGGCGTGAGCCACTGTGCCTGGCCCACCCCCAGAATCACCTTCCACCTTTAACACCCATTCCCACTTCCAGCCCCTTCTCCTCTCAGACACTTCACCACCCACCCCTGCATGGCCATCCGCTACTTGCCCTCTTGGGGCTCTCTGGCCCCTCTCACCCACTCCTGCCCCCGGCCTGCTCCCCAGGACCTGCTGAGCATCGTGGCCAGCGTCCTGCATTTGGGTAACATCCACTTTGCTGCCGACGAGGAGAGCAATGCCCAGGTCACCACCGAGAACCAACTGAAGTATCTGACCAGAGTGAGCAGGGGCGGGCAGAGGGTAAGGGAAGGACAGCGGGGGTGGGGGCTGGGGGTGCGCCCTCACCACATCCTTGCCTGCCCTTGGCAGCTCCTCAGCGTGGAAGGCTCGACGCTGCGAGAAGCCCTGACACACAGGAAGATCATCGCCAAGGGGGAGGAGGTGAGGCCGGGCCTTTGCCTTCGGGTGTGGAGGGGCAGGTGTTCCAAAGCAGCCCCTACTCCCATCACTCCCCTTTGCCTGGTCCCCTCAGCAGTGCTGGAGGGATGGAAGGAAGGCTGCTCAGGGAAGCAGAGAGCCAGGCACAGTGGCTCATGCTTGTAACCCCAGCACTTGGGGAGGCTGAGGTAGGGTGGGTCACCTGAGGTCAGGAGTTCGAGACCATCCTGGCCAACATGGTGAAACCCCATCTCTACTAAAATGCAAAAATTAGCCGGGTGTGGTGGTGGGCGCCTGTCATCCCAGCTACTCAGACCTGTCCCTCTACCACCTTCCCACTGGGGCGGCCACCTGTCCTCCCTGAGGTCCCACTACCAGCACCCCTCCCCACACCGCAGGCTCGCTGGAGCTGGGCATGCAGAGTGGTGACGGCTTCCTGGTCTGCCTGAGCCTGGGGGCAGGTGGGATGCAAGAGCTGTGTGGCATTCATCTCCTTGCCTCACGCTGCGCCCACAGCTCCTGAGCCCGCTGAACCTGGAGCAGGCCGCCTATGCGCGAGACGCTCTCGCCAAGGCTGTGTACAGCCGCACTTTTACCTGGCTCGTGGGGAAGATCAACAGGTCGCTGGCCTCCAAGGTGAGGGCTCACTCCACACTGCTCCTGAGGCAGGAGGGAGGGCCATCAGTGGGGCGGGGGGCTGCGGGGTGGGGCTGGCACACGCAGGGGTCCACGCCTTCGGTTGAATGACTGCCCTAGGATGCGGAGAGCCCCAGCTGGCGGAGTACCACGGTTCTCGGGCTCCTGGATATTTATGGCTTCGAAGTGTTTCAGCATAACAGGTCAGTGCCACGTTTTCCCCGTCTCCTCCCAGGCTCCTGTCCTGCTGTGCTCCCTCTCTTCCGTCCCCCAGCCTCTCATTCCTGCCCCGTGACTCCCCAGCCAGCCGGGGACTGGCTCTGTGTCTCACCTCCTATGCTCAGGGGCCTCGTCCAGCCTTTCCCCTCTGCTGGTCCTATGTCCCCACTGAGCCACTGTGGACGCTTCTCCTTCCTTACAGCTTTGAGCAGTTCTGCATCAATTACTGCAACGAGAAGCTGCAGCAGCTCTTCATCGAGCTCACGCTCAAGTCGGAGCAGGAGGAGTACGAGGCAGAGGGCATCGCGGTGTGTGCAAGCCTGAGGGCACTCTCTGGGCCATGGGGAGCCTGGGCATCGGGGCCCCTGGGAGAGGGTGCCAGGACCCCACGGTGATGCCTGCCTTCCCTTCTGCCCCTCAGTGGGAGCCCGTCCAGTATTTCAACAACAAGATCATCTGTGATCTGGTGGAGGAGAAGTTTAAGGGCATCATCTCGATTTTGGTGAGTCCTCTGTGCCTCCAAGGCCTCGTGCTGGAGGCTGGGTGGGAGGATGTCCCCGTTCTCCGTTCTCTCCAGGCTGGTCCACAGAGGGCCAGAGTCTGGGGCTGAGTAGAGACAGGGCAGGGCTGTGAATGGCGGATGGAGGGAGGCGCCGCCCCGGTCGGAAGCTCTATGGAGGCTCCCAGTGATCTGTCCCCTCCCCTGTGTCTGAGCCTCCCAGCATGGTGACCCCAATCCTCTATGCTCTCTGGCCCCTCCCCCATATGTCCCTCCCCCTGTGCCACACCCCCCAGGATGAGGAGTGTCTGCGCCCTGGGGAGGCCACGGACCTGACCTTCCTAGAGAAACTGGAGGACACAGTCAAGCACCATCCACACTTCCTGACGTGAGTGGGGCCGCGGGGCTGCTGGGGGCGAGGACTCACTTGTGGCAGAACCTGCAGGGTGCGGGAGTCCCTCCCCGATCCCAAAACACCAGCCACAAGGAGGTGACCAAGTGCTGAGTTAAGGACCCCTCATGTGTGTCCAGAAACTAAGAAGCTTAGCCAGGCACGCTGACACACACCTAGAGTCCCATCTGTGCAGAAGGCTGGGGCGAGAGCATCACTAGCCCTGCAGTTTTGAGGCTGCAGTGAGCTAGGATCAACCCACTGCACTCCAGCCTGGGCTACAGAGCAAGAGCCTATCTCAAAAAGTAAAAAAAACAGCTGGGCGTGGTAACTCACACCTATAATCCCGGCACTTTGGGGAGGCCAAGGTGGGTGGATCATTTGAGGTCAAGAGTTCAAGATCAGCCTGGCCAACATGGTGAAACCCCGTCTCTACTAAAAATACAAAAGTTAGCTGGGCGTGGTGGCAGGCACCTGTAATCCCAGCTACTTGGGAGGCTGAGGCAGGAGAATCGCTTGAACCCGGGAGGTGGAGGGTGCAGTGAGTTGAGATCTCACCATTGCACTCCAGCCTGGGTGACAAGAGCGAGACTTCGACCCAAAAAAAAAGAAAGAAAGATGCTAGTAGCCTGGCTTCCTCCCTGTTCTTTTTTTTTTTTTTTTTTTTTTTTGAGACGGAGTCTTGCTCTGTCGCCCAGGCTGGGGTGCAGTGGCCGGATCTCAGCTCACTGCAAGCTCCACCTCCCGGGTTTACGCCATTCTCCTGCCTCAGCCTCCCGAGTAGCTGGGACTACAGGCACCCGCCACCTCGCCCGGCTAGTTTTTTGTATTTTTTAGTAGAGATGGGGTTTCACCGTGTTAGCCAGGATGGTCTCAATCTCCTGACCTCGTGATCTACCCGTCTCGGCCTCCCAAAGTGCTGGGATTACAGGCTTGAGCCACCGCGCCCAGCCCCTGTTCTTTTTTGAGAATGAAACTTGCTAGGCCAGGCTCAGTGGCTCATGCCTGTAATTCCAGCACTTTAGGAGGCCGAGGCAAGCAAATCATGAGGTCAGGAGATCGAGACCATCCTGGCTAACACGGTGAAACCCCCGTCTCTACTAAAAAAAATACAAAAAACTAGCCGGACGAGGTGGCGGGCACCTGTAGTCCCAGCTACTCGGGAGGCTGAGGCAGGAGAATGGCCTGAGCCTGGGAGGCGGAGCTTGCAGTGAGCCGAGATCGTGCCACTGCACTTCAGCCTGGGCCAAAGTGCGTGACTGTCTCAAAAAATAAATAAATAAAAGAACCTTGCTGAGATTTTTCCTTATTTGGAAACTGCTTTTTATTGAAGGAATCCCCTGAGGTGGGGTGAGGTGGGAACAGGAGTAAGTGCCTCTGTCCAGCGCGGTCTCACGCGTGCCGTGCACGTCGTAGCTTCTCCTGCGGCCGCTCCTGGAGGGGTTCTTGGTGTTTTCTCACTGAGACTCCAAGAGGCAGAGGCACTTCCCCAAAGTTACCTCTCATCTAGGTTGCCGAGCTGGGGTCAGTCCCAGGGCTGCTGAATGCCAAATCCATGAGTATTTTTTGCATAATAAGATACTGAGGCCGGGCGCGGTGGCTCATGCCTGTAATCCCAGCACTTTGGGAGGCCGAGACGGGCGGATCACAAAGTCAGGAGATCGAGACCATCCTGGCTAACATGGTGAAACCCCGTCTCTACTAAAAAAAACCAAAAAACTAGCCGGGTGAGGTGGCGGCGCCTGTAGTCCCAGCTACTCGGGAGGCTGAGGCAGGAGAATGGCGTGAACGCGGGAGGCGGAGCTTGCAGTGAGCTGAGATCTAGCCACTGCACTCCAGCCCGGGCGACAGAGCGAGACTCCGTCTCAACAACAACAACAAAAAAAAAGATATTGAAAATTTGTCTCTGGATGGGCACAGTGGCTCACGCCTGTCATCCCAACACTGTGGGAGGCCGAGGCGGGCGGATCACCTGAGGCCAGGAGTTCAAGACCAGCCTGGCCAACATGGCGAAACCCCGTCTCTATTAAAACTACAAAAATTAGCCAGGCCTGGTAGTGGGCACCTGTAATTCCAGCTACTCGGGAGCCAGGGAAATCGCTTGAACCCGGGAGGTGGAGGTTGCAGTCAGCTGAGATCACGCCACTGCACTCCAGCCTGGATGACAGAGCCAGACTCCATCTCAAATAAAAAAAAACTTGTTTCTGGGAGTCTCTCTGAATCTGTTCTGGTTTAGGGGCTGCCTGATTCGTTAAATAATAAATACTAAAAACTTGTTTCTGATTATAAAAATAATATTGCTCATTAGCGCAAAGTTGGACTGTACACAAAAGCCACCTGTGATTCTGTTGCCCAAAGGCCACGGCTGATAACCGTGTGAGGCATTTCCCTCCTGCCTTTCCCTCCTGCCTTTTTCTATGCATTTATTTCATAGACAAGAACTTCTTGTGTATAAGGCTCAGGGTAATGCTATATCCTGCACATTTTCCTGTATCATCAAACAGAAAATTTTCCTCAAAACTCTTCCTGAGTGGCTCTGACCCACAGATACTCCCCTCTCTCAGCCAGCTCTTCGGGGCCCCTGGCCAGCCACCGGGTTTCTGCTGGAATCACAAGGCTGCCACAGACATCTCGTGCCTTCCATCTTTGTATCTCTGGTTAGCTGCTTGAAATAGTTCTTAAAAGTAGCAAGTGGGCCAAAGGGTATAAACATGCCTAAGACTTTAGTGCTCTCTTGGGGCGGCAGATTCCGTTCTGAGAAGTAGTGGGCAGCTCACCACCGCCTTCTGAGCAGAGCCCGCAGCAGCCGGAAGCAACGCGAGTTGCCCTCCCTGCAGCGTGCCCTGGCCGTCAGATGGCGAAGTTCCCAGTCCTGGCACTGTGTGGCCCCGACCAGGGCCATCTACCTCTCTGAGCCTCTGTGGTCTGCTCTGAGCAGGGAGGCCACTGGCTCTGCCTGGCCTGCCTCAGTGACCCAGCCCTGGGGTGTGCCTGCTCTTCTTTTTTTTTTTTTTTTGAGACGGAATCTTGGTCTGTCACCCAGGCTGGAGTATAGTGGCTCAGTCTTGGCTCACTGCAACCTCCACCTCCCAGGTTCAAGCGATTCTCCTTCCTCAGCCTCATAAGTAGCTGGGACTACAGGTGCCCACCACCATGCCTGGCTAATTTTTGTGTTTTTAGTAGAGACGGGGTTTCACCATATTGGCCAGGCTGGTCTCGAACTACTGACCTTGTGATCCGCCCGCCTCGGCCTCCCAAACTGCTGGGGTTACAGCCGTGAGCCACCGTGCCCGGCCTGGGGTGCGCCTGCTCTTTACGTGGCTGGTTCCTGTTCCTGAAGCCCCTTCAGCAGGCAGAGGGCTTGGTTCAGGCCGGCCATCTGCAGCTTCCACCCCATCACCCCCAGGCACAAGCTGGCTGACCAGCGGACCCGGAAATCTCTGGGCCGAGGGGAATTCCGCCTTCTGCACTACGCTGGGGAGGTGACTTACAGCGTGACAGGTGAGGGTTCTGGGGCTGTGTCCCCACCGGGGCCTGCAGGGAGGCTGTCTCACCTCACACCTGCTCTCCCCTCCCAGGGTTTCTGGACAAAAACAATGACCTTCTCTTCCGGAACCTTAAGGAGGTGAGGAGGGCCCGGGAGGCTGGCGTGGGGGTGGTGGTAGCCCACAGCTCTGCACCTGTGTCCAGGAGCCTGTCCTGCCTGTCCCTGTGCCCCTCCCTGACCCCGGCTCTGCCCACACAGACCATGTGTAGCTCGAAGAATCCCATTATGAGCCAGTGCTTCGACCGGAGCGAGCTCAGTGACAAGAAGCGGCCAGAGACGGTGAGGAGGTGGCGGGACCGGGCACAGGGGTGTGTGCACCCCAACATGCATGAGGGCCTGCGTGAGCCTGGGAGCTGGCAGCGTGCGTGTGAACGTGTGTTGGAGCCTGTGTGCACATATGCAGGTGTCTGTAGGGGGCTGCCTTAGGTGCCTCTTTGCCTACTTTTTTTTTTTTTTTTGAGACAGAGCCTTGCTGGAGTGCAGTGGCGCAATCTTGGCTCACTACAACCTCCACCTACCGGGTTCAAGCGATTCTCCTGCCTCATCCTCCTAAGTAGCTGGGATTACAGGTGCCTGCCACCACACCCGGCTAATTTTTTGTATTTTTAGTAGAGATGGGGTTTCACCATGTTGGCCAGGCTGGTCTCAAACTCCTGACCTCAGGTGAAACACCTGCCTCGGCCTCCCAAAGTGTTAGGGTTACCGGTGTAAGCCACCGCGCCCATCCCTGTTTGCCTACTTGTGTGTGTGTGTGTGCTGTGTCTAGAGTGGAGCCATGTGTCTTAAGTGTGGGCTGTGTCTGTAGGGGAATCCGTGTGTACTTCTGTCTCTGTGGGTGTCCCTGTGTTGACAGCTGCCTCTGTGTGGCTGCTGTCATGTGTCCACCCACTCAGCAGACATTTATAGCAGACGCTGCCAGGCACTGAGGTACCAGAATGAGTGGGTGTGCCTGCAGCAACGTGCACAGGGTGCTTTGCAAACTTAGAAGAGGGAACAGCGGCCGGGCGCAGTGGCTCAAGCCTGTAATCCCAGCACTTTGGGAGGCCGAGACGGGCGGATCACGAGGTCAGGAGATCGAGACCATCCTGGTTAACACGGTGAAACCCCGTCTCTACTAAAAAGTACAAAAAACTAGCCGGGCGAGGTGGCGGGCGCCTGTAGTCCCAGCTACTCGGGAGGCTGAGGCAGGAGAATGGCGTGAACCCGGGAGGTGGAGCTTGCAGTGAGCTGAGATTCGGCCACTGCATTCCAGCCTGGGCGACAGAGCAAGACTCCGTCTCAAAAAAAAAAAAAAAAAAAAAAAAAGGGAACAGCAAACGGCCTGACAGGGCGGAAGGGGTGAGGGGTTGGGGAGGCTCCCTGGAGGAGGAGGCATTGGAGATGACTTGGGAATGTCAGATGAACCTATAGTCAGGGTCCAATCCAGACACAGAGTCTAAAAAGGCCAGGAGGTGAGCGGGAAAGCCATGGCATCAAGGAGAAGGACCGGGAAAGGCAGGCATGGCCAGGGTGCCAGGTGCAGGGAGAGCTCCAGCGAGCTGGGGGCAGAGGTATGGCTGTTGGGCTTGGCAAGAAGAGGGAGCCCCAGAAGAGTGAGGTCAGTGCGTCCATAGGGAGGTGGAAGCCAGACTGCCTAGCAGGGAGGGCATGCAGGCATCATGCCACCCAGGGTCTGGCTCCCTGGGCCCCTGCCCGCTGCTGCTGTCTGCCCCACCCTCTCCTTAAGTGCCCACATACTCCTGGCCCTAGCGTCTCCTTGCTGTGGATGCCTGCACACCCTCCCGCCTAGGCCTCTCCCACAAGCCACAGACTCACGAATCTCATCCTCTTCCCCTAGATGGCCCCGGGCACCCTAGACCCCACTGGTCTGTAACAAACGGGCCCTTGATCTCCCCCTCCAGGCTTTCTCCTTCTCTCCCTAACTCAGGACAGGGATCACTAGCCCAGTCTCCCAAGCCAGAAACTTGGGTGTCATCCCTGGTTCTTTTTTTGTTTTGAAACGGAGTCTCGCTCTGTCGCCCAGGCTGGAGTGCAGTGGCGCAATCTGGGCTCACTGCAACCTCCGCTTCCCAGGCTCAAGTGGGAGGTTCACTTAATTATCTTGCCTCAGCCTCCCAAGTAGCTGGGATTACAGGCACCTGCCATCATGCCCAGCTAACTTTTGTAGAGCGGGGGTTTCACCGTGTTGGCCAGGCAATCTTGAACTCACGACCTCAGGTGATCCGCCCGCCTCGGCCTCCCAAAGTGCTGGGATTACAGGCGTGAGCCACCACACCCGGCCCCTTAGTTCTTTTTTCTCCTTGTCCCCCTTCTCCAGCCAGTGGATCTTGCCGGAGTACTTAGCAGCTTCCCCTCAGTCTTTCCCTGTAGCCACTGCTGCAAGCGTGAGCCACTGCAGCCGCCCCTCCTTACCCTTTAAAGCTCAGCCGAGCGTCATTTCTAGAAGACGCCTCCTGGTGCTCCCTACCCCTCAGACTGGATGAGCTGTCCCTTTGTGGGGCTCTCAGAACCCCCAGGCACACACCTGCTACTCTCGGACCACACGGAATTGTGAGTCTTTGCTAAAGAGTGTGTTCCTCCGCCAGGCCTGAGATCCTTCCAGATCCTGCAGAGCAGCGTACCCAGATAATAGCTGAATGTGTAGCATGGGACACGCTGTTCAGGAACGCAGCCCTGAAGTTCTAGAAAGAAAAAGAAGGGTCACTAATGGGAGGTGTAGCATTGAGGTTGCTGGGAGACCTGAGCAGGAGTTTTAGACTGGAGTGAGGCTCGGAGACTACGGTCCCTCGCCCAGCCGGAGGGTAAGGGTGGAGTCTGGCCCCCTCCTCTGCGGTGAGGAATGTGCGGTGGGAGGAATAAGGGCCAGGCCGAATCAGGGGCTGTTGCTTGCGTCACTAGCCGGAGGAGTGGGGTACTCGCTGCTGGGGTCAGCAGCTTTAGCCCAGCTCCGGCCAACCTTCCATGCCTCTTGGCTCTCCAGGTCGCCACCCAGTTCAAGATGAGCCTCCTGCAGCTGGTGGAGATCCTGCAGTCCAAGGAGCCCGCCTACGTCCGCTGCATCAAGCCTAATGATGCCAAACAGCCCGGTAGGCCCCTCCTACGGGGGACTTAGGGGCCGGGCCTCCCCTGCAATTGACAGACTGTCAGCGCCAGCCTGCTGACCGTGGCTCTCCCCCTCCCCCAGGCCGCTTTGATGAGGTGCTGATCCGGCACCAGGTGAAGTACCTGGGGCTGATGGAGAACTTGCGCGTGCGCAGAGCCGGCTTTGCCTATCGCCGCAAATACGAAGCTTTCCTGCAAAGGTAGGGGCAGGTCCGGCTTGGTGCCGGGGAAGGGGAGCGGGAGGGTAGGAGCCCCTAGGTCCCATGAGGGCAGACAGGGGTTCTCGGCCCCATTTTAGAAATGTGGACGCGGAGGTCCTGGGCTGCTGGGGGCCTCGTGCTAGGAACCTTTGGTGCTGCAGACCTGACATCAAGCTGGGTGGACAGAACGACCGGCTCCCCTGGCCGTGCCCTCCGGGAGCGCTCGCTCAGGGGTACAGGAGGCCTACGTCCACGTGCCGGGCATCAGGGGCAGGCGGTAGCAAGCCTTGTAGGGCAGCTTCCAAGCGGCTCAGAAAGGGTGGAGCGGCTTTGTGGTTCTTCTGAGTCAGGGGTCTGGGGGGCCAAACGGTGTGAATTTCATCTCTGCCACTTCCTAGTTACTTGGCCTTAGGTAGATAAGAACGGTTTCCTCATCTTTAAAATGGGGGCAGTGACCGAGTGAGCCTCCTGCGAGCTGTGAACGAGTCAATGGGATCCCCCAGTGGGTGCCCAGAGCAGGCTGCTAACTGGGGTGGGTGGGGACCGCGTGCATTCCTGCCCCTCCTATCCCCAGGTACAAGTCACTGTGCCCAGAGACGTGGCCCACGTGGGCAGGACGGCCGCAGGATGGGGTGGCTGTGCTGGTCCGGCACCTGGGCTACAAGCCAGAAGAGTACAAGATGGGCAGGTGAGTAGTGCCCATGCCAGGTGCCTGCGGGGAATAGGGGTGGCAACCCCAGGCTGATCACTGCTGCTTTCCCAGGACCAAGATCTTCATCCGCTTCCCCAAGACCCTGTTTGCCACAGAGGATGCCCTGGAGGTCCGGCGGCAGAGCCTAGGTGAGAGAGAAGCCCACCTTTCCTGCCGCACGGGGTCTGTTCCGGGAAGCAGGGAAGTCACTCCCTTGGGCTCCTTCTCCAGGGAGTCCACCCCTCCCTACCAGCTCCAGCCCCACACCCAGCTCCAGGGAGTCCACTAGTCGACTTGGAACCCCCTCCCTACCAGCCCCAGCCCCATACCCAGCTCCAGGGAGTCCTCCTCCAAGGAGTCCACTAGTTGACTTGGAACCCCCTCCCTACCAGCTCCAGCCTCACGCCCGCCATCGCACCCACTGCCCCCCCTTCTCCGGGCAGTCCCCACATTCATTCTTCTTCACTACTCTGCTGCTCGCTGGCTCCTTCGGCCACTGTCCCATTCATGCCACTCATGGAGTGCAGACGGCACCAGGCTCCCAGCTGGCTCCCCGCGCTCTGGCCAATTACCTTTCTTTCCCAACTGCAGCCACCAAGATCCAAGCTGCCTGGAGGGGCTTTCACTGGCGGCAGAAATTCCTCCGGGTGAAGCGATCAGGTTCGTGGGCCCATGGGTTTTCAGGAGGGGCGGGGTCTGGGGCCAGGGGAGGCCACCATGGTAAGAAGATGGAGGTCAGCCATCTGTGGTCTCCACGACAGCTATCTGCATCCAGTCGTGGTGGCGTGGAACGCTGGGCCGGAGGAAGGCAACCAAGAGGAAGTGGGCAGCGCAGACCATCCGGCGGTGAGCACCAGGGTGCCTTGTGGGGGCTGCAGAGCAGGGCGTGTGGGGGGTTCACCACCAGCCTCCTCGCCCTCAACCCTGTCTGGCCCCCGACCCCAGGCTCATCCGAGGCTTCATCCTGCGCCACGCGCCCCGTTGCCCCGAGAACGCCTTCTTCCTGGACCACGTGCGCACCTCTTTTTTGCTAAACCTGCGGCGGCAGCTGCCCCGGAATGTCCTGGACACCTCCTGGCCCACACCCCCACCTGCCCTGCGTGAGGTCTGTGGGCACCCCCTGCCAAGTTAGGGACCATCAAAGTACACAGCAGAAGGGTCTGATTTCTTGGGGCCAAAGGATCGGTCAGGGAGGGGCTCACGGAGGGCCCGGACCAGAGCTGGGCAGTGAAAAGTAAGGTTTCTCTTTTTTTTTTTTTTTTTTTTTTTTGAGATGGAGTCTCACACTGTCACCCAGGGAGTGGCGCGATCTTGGCTCCCTGCAACCTTTGCCTCCCGGGTTCAAGTGATTCTCCTGCCTCAGCCTCCCAAGTAGCTGGGATTACAGGCACCTGCCACTACGCCCAGCTAATTTTTTTATTTTTAGTAGAGATATGGTTTCACCATGTTGGCCTGGCTGGTCTTGAACTCCTGACCTCGGGTGATCCACCCACCTCGGCCTCCCGAAGTGCTGGGATTATAGGTGTGAACCACCGCGCCCTGCTGAGTAAGGTCTCTTGACTCAGGAGTGGAAGCATTGTCCAGATGGAGGGGGCTTTGCTTATCCAAAGGCTGGGGTAACATATGTTCGATGTCTTCAGAGGGAAGGGCCCAGGGTGTCCAGGAGCTCTGACCTCACTCTTCCCTTCAGGCCTCAGAGCTTCTGCGGGAGCTGTGCATAAAGAACATGGTGTGGAAATACTGCCGGAGCATCAGCCCTGAGTGGAAGCAGCAGGTACGGAGAGTGGTGCTGGGTGAGGATGAGGAAGTGGAGTCAGGGAACCGCAGGCATTCCTCAGAGAGTGTTGGCCTAGAGGGGCATTTACCCTGGTCTACCGTATTTACCCCGCCTACTGTATTTACCCTGGTCTATTCTATTTACCCCAGTCTACCGTATTTACCCCGGTCTACTCTACCTCGTGTATCGTATTTACCCCTGTCTACCGTATTTACCCTGCCTTCCTTATTTATCTCGGGTTATCGTATTTACTCTGCCTACCGTATTATCTCGGCCTACCGTATTTACCGCGTCTGTCGTATTTACTTTGATCTACCGTATTTATCCTGCCTACCGTATTTACCCTCGTCTACCGTATTTACTTCAGCCTACCGTATTTACCCCGTATTTACCTCGTCTATGGTATTTATCTCGTCTATCGTATTTACCCCGTCTATCGTATTTACCCCTGTCTACCGTATTTACCCCGTCTATCGTATTTACCTTGTCTATCATATTTACCCCGTCTATCGTATTTACCTCGGTTTACCATATTTACCCCGCCTACCGTATTTACCCGTCTGCCGTATTTACCCCTGTCTGCCGTACTTACGACTGTCTGCCATATTTACCTCTGTGTGCCGTATTTACCCCTGTCTGCCGTATTTACGCCTGTCTGCCGTATTTACGCCTGTCTGCCGTATTTACGCCTGTCTGCTGTATTTACCCCTGTCTGCTGTATTTACCCCTGTCTGCTGTATTTACCCCTGTCTGCTGTATTTACCCCTGTCTGCTGTCGTTTCTTCGGTCTACTGTATTTACCCCGGTCTACTGGCGACCTCAGTTGGATGCCAGGCCCTGCTGGGCCTTGTGTAGGAAGTGGACGCTGGAGTACATTTGGGGTGGCCAATAGGGTTCACCTTGTGGGCCAACTGCCCTTGATTGGTAGAGACTGCTCAGAACCCTGTGTTGAAAAGTCTGCATCTTCACTTGGATGGATTGGTGATGTTTGCCCTCATTACAGGCATTGGTTGATGTGCCGTGTTTTTGCCAACTCAGTACTGGATGATTCTAAAACACCCACCCAGCATAGATAACCTCTAGTAACCTTGAGTATTAGTGATCTGCTACTTAGAAGACCCCAAGCTGGAGCTGAGTCTCAGGGCCACCAGGGCCTGATGGGGTGGGGAAACATTACAAAGGCTAGTTTCTTTTTTTTTTTTTTTTGAGACGGAGTCTCGCTCTGTCGCCCAGGCTGGAGTGCAGTGGCCGAATCTCAGCTCACTGCAAGCTCCGCCTCCCGGGTTTACGCCATTCTCCTGCCTCAGCCTCCCGAGTAGCTGGGACTACAGGCGCCGCCACCTCGCCCGGCTAGTTTTTTGTAGTTTTAGTAGAGACGGGGTTTCACTGTGTTTGCCAGGATGGTCTCGATCTCCTGACTTCGTGATCCACCCGTCTCGGCCTCCCAAAGTGCTGGGATTACAGGCTTGAGCCACCGCGCCCGGCCAAAGGCTAGTTTCAAAACCCGGCAGTGCCTTCATGACACCGCTGGGGAGTGTTTGGTGGCGGCAGAGGGTCAGGAAGTGGGGGGTTGATGGGAGTGTGGGGGGCAGGGCTCAACCTCCTGGTGCTGAGCAAGAGGGGGACCAGCAAGCAGGTGAGGGAGGCTGTCTCAGGTCCTAAGGCTGGCTCTGCCCCCCAAGATAGTACCCCCCACCGTGATACTCTCCTCACCCCCCTTGTCTCCTTAGCTGCAGCAGAAGGCCGTGGCTAGTGAGATCTTCAAGGGCAAGAAGGATAATTACCCTCAGAGTGTGCCCAGACTCTTCATTAGCACTCGGCTTGGTGAGCCCTTGACTTTCCAGCACTCAGACCTTTCGTCATTGTCCTGGTCCCCTGTTGCCTCCTCTGACCTCCCTCCCTGCCATCTGGGTTGCAGGTGCAGACGAGATCAGCTCCCGAGTGCTTCAGGCCCTGGGCTCTGAGCCCATTCAGGTAAGAGCCTGCCCTCAACCCTGAGTCCATCTGAGCCCATTCAGGTAAGAGCCTGCCTGCAGCCCTGAGTCCGGCAGCGCGGTTCTGCTGCCCAGGAGCTGGAGGCAGGTCAGGGTACAGGCGGAGCCTTGGGAGCTTCTCCCCAAGCCCCTTCAGCCTGGCCTCTGTCCCCAGTATGCTGTGCCTGTCGTGAAATATGACCGCAAGGGCTACAAGCCTCGCTCCCGGCAGCTGCTGCTTACGCCCAACGCCGTGGTCATCGTGGAGGACGCCAAAGTTAAGCAGAGGATTGATTACGCCAACCTGACCGGTCAGCCAGGGTCCAGGGCTGCAGGGGGAGGGCCCCTGCTTTGACACTTGACCTCTGATCTTTGCCCTCTCCCTTCAGGAATCTCCGTGAGCAGCCTGAGCGACAGTCTGTTTGTGCTTCATGTACAGCGTGAAGACAATAAGCAAAAGGTGCCCTTTCATGGATGGGGAGGTGGATTGGGGAGTAATGGGGGGGAGGGGGAAGTGGGGGTGGATGAGGAGGTGGGGGGGAGGGGGCGTGGGGGTGGATGAGGAGGTGGGGGGGAGGGGGCGTGGGGGTGGATGGGGAGGTGGGGGGATGGATGGGATGAGGGGGTAGGGGGGATTGGGGGTGAATGGGGTGCTGGATGGGGAGGAGTTGGGGGGTGGATGGGGGCAGGGGGTGGATAGGGAGTGAAGAGTGGATGGGGAGGTGAGGCAGAGGGTCCTCGAGTTCTGGCCAGGGCCTGATCCCTCCTTCCTGGCCCCCCAGGGAGATGTGGTGCTGCAGAGTGACCATGTGATTGAGACGCTGACCAAGACAGCCATCAGTGCCGACCGTGTGAACAACGTCAACATCAACCAGGGCAGGTGAGATGCGGGCCGGGAGTGGTGAGGGGGCTGTGTGGGCACCCGGGGACAGGGTGGGGGGTGGTGAGGGGGCTGTGTGGGCACCCCGGGACAGGGTGGGGGTGGTGAAGGGGCTGTGTGGGCACCCGGGGACAGGGCGGGGGTGGTGAGGGGGCTGTGTGGGCACCCGGGGACAGGGTGGGGGTTGGAGAGGGGGCTGTGTGGGCACCCAGGGACAGGGCGGGGGTGGTGAAGGGGCTGTGTGGGCACCCGGGGACAGGGCGGGGGGGGTGAAGGGGCTGTGTGGGCACCCGGGGACAGGGTGGGGGGTGGTGAGGGGGCTGTGTGGGCACCCGGGGACAGGGTGGGGGGTGGAGAGGGGGCTGTGTGGGCACCCGGGGACAGGGTGGGGGGTGGAGAGGGGGTTGTTTGGGCACCTGGGGACAGGGTGGGGGGTGGTGAGGGGGCTGTGTGGGCACCCGGGGACAGGGTGGGGGGTGGTGAGGGGGCTGTGTGGGCACCCGGGGACAGGGTGGGGGGTGGACGGGGGTTGTGTGGGCACCCGGGGACAGGGTGGGGGGTGGAGGGGGGCTGTGTGGGCACCCGGGGACAGGGTGGGGGGTGGAGAGGGGGTTGTGTGGGCACCCAGGGACAGGGTGGGGGGTGGACGGGGGTTGTGTGGGCACCCGGGGACAGGGTGGGGGGTGGAGGGGGGCTGTGTGGGCACCCGGGGACAGGGTGGGGGGTGGAGAGGGGGCTGTGTGGGCATCCAGGAACAGAGCGGGGGCCCACCTTAGAGTTGGGGGTCTGTCTCCATGGAAAAACCCTCACCCACCCCGTTCCCCCAGCATCACGTTTGCAGGGGGCCCCGGCAGGGATGGTACCATCGACTTCACCCCCGGCTCGGAGCTGCTCATCACCAAGGCCAAGAACGGGCACCTGGCTGTGGTGAGTGGGGTCTGCTTTCCCGCTCATGGCCTGGCTGTGCCTTCCTTGGCTGTGCTGGGCAGAGTCCGGGCACCTCACCATGGGCCTTAATCCAGAGGCCATCATACCACCTCTTCCATCCGCTGGCCCACCCATGAGGGCCGGAGAGAGGGGCCGTTCGCGCCCCTCAGTGCAGAAAGTTGTAAAGGTGGCAGAGCGGGGCCCACGCCTGTGATCTCAGCACTGTGGGATGCTGAGGCGGGCGGATCACCTGAGGCCAGGGGCCCACGCCTGTGATCTCAGCACTGTGGGAGGCCGGGGCGGGCGGATCACCTGAGGCCAGGAGTTTGAGACCAGCTTGACCAACATGGTGAAACCCATCTACTAAAAAAATACAAAAGCCTGGTGCAGTGGCTCACACCTGTAATCCCAGCACTTTGGGAGGCCCAGGAGGGCGGATCACCTGAGGTCAGGCATTCGAGACCAGCCTGGCCAACATGGTGAAACCCCGACTCTACTAAAAATACAAAAATTAGCTGGGCGTGGCGGTGTGTGCCTGTAATACCAGCTAGTAGTGGGGCTGAGGCAGGAGAATTGCTTGAACCCAGGAGGTAGAGATTGCAGTGAGCTGAAATCATGCCACTGCACTCCAGCCTGGGGAACAGAGTGAGATGCCATCTCAAAAAAAAAAAAAGGCCAGGTGCGGTGGCTCACACCTGTGATCCCAGCACTTTGGGAGGCCAAGGCGGGCAGATCACCTGGGGTCGGGAGTTCGAAACCAGCCTGACCAACATGGAGAAACCCCGTCTCTACTAAAAATAAAAATTAGCCGGGCGTGGTGGTGCGTGCCTGTAATCCCAGCTACTCGCGAGGCTGAGGCAGGAGAGACACTTGAACCTGGGAGGTGGAGGTTGCGTTGAGCTGAGATTGTGCCACTGCACTCCAGGCTGGGCAACAAGAACAAAACGCTGTCTCCAGAAATATATATATATACAAAAAGGTTAGCCAGGTGTGGTGGCGGGCGCCTGTACTCCCAGTTGCTCAGGAGCCTGAGGTGGGAGGATCGCTTGAGCCCAGGAGGCTGAGGCTCCAGTGAGACCCAAGATCTCACTGCTGCATTCCAGCCCGGGTGACAAAATGAGACCCTGTGTCAAAAAAAAAAAAAGGCAGCACGGTAATGCAGGGAAGATACGGGATGATTGGGGGGTGCCAGGAGGGAGGAGAGGCTCACCCTGGCCAGGGTGGTGGGCATTCCTGTGGGAGTCAGGTCCGAGTCTCCAGGATGGAGACCACTAGGCCCCCACCACTCCTGCCTGCCTCAAACGCGTGAATGTAAGCGCTGGGGCTGGGTGCAGCGGCTCACGCCTGTAATCCCAACCCTTAGGGAAGCAGAGGTGGGAGGATAGCTTGAGCCCAGGAGTTCAAGACCAGACTGGGCAATATAGTGAGACCCCACTCTCCATAAAAAGGATAAAAAAGCCTGAGTGCCGGGGTCCCCGTCTCCCCCTCACCACTTGGGTGTCTCTCTGCCCCCCGACCCGGGGCCCCCCGTCTCCCCCTCACCACTTAATGTCTTTGCCCCGCAGGTCGCTCCCAGGCTGAATTCCCGGTGATAGAGGCGCTCACTGGACTCCCAGCTCCCAGCGCTTTGCTTCTGTCCTCCCCTCCCAATTACCAAAGACTCAAACTTCCAGACAGGAATCCGGGGACGCCCCGAAGCCCCCCCTGCCGTCTCCCACCTCCTGCCCATCCCTCAGACGGGGACCCAGGGACACCCCGAAACCCACCCGCCATCTCCCACCTCCTGTCCATCCCTCAGGGACCCAGGGATACCCCGAAGCCCCCCTGCCGTCTCCCACCTCCTGCCCATCCCTCAGACGGGGACCCAGGGACGCCCCAAAGCCCCCCTGCCGTCTCCCACCTCCTGCCCATCCCTCAGATGGGGACCCAGGGACGCCCCAAAGCCCCCCTGCCGTCTCCCACCTCCTGCCCATCCCTCTCTTGAGGGAGCAGCAGGGGCCAGGAGCTACCCCAGGAGTGGGCCAGGCCGGGCCACAGCAATAGCAAAGCCAGGGCCAGAGCGAGCCATGCCAGCCCTACTGCCGATGCCAAATGTTTGAGAGAAGGGAACTTTTGCTGAGGTTTTCTCTGAGGTTTTTTTTGATGCTTTATAGGAAACTATTTTTTAAAAAAAGCCATTTCCCACCCGAGGACACATGGGTGTGTTTTCCCTGACCCCAGCAGGGCGAGGAATGTAGCTGAGAGGTGGGGTGGGCTGGGCTCTGGTGCCCTCTTCGCTGGCCAGGCCACCTCTCCTCCTGATTCCCTTGGCACCTTGTCTGTCTACCTGTCTCCCTGCCTGCCCATCTGCACCTTTTGCAGCCCACTCTGACTTCCATCTGCGGGCTGAGACCACGCTTGCCTGCCCTCTTCTTCCTGCCTTAAGA